AATAATTCATATTTCTATTTGTATTTTACAGTGTATTAATTTTGTTCGTGTACGTGGAATGTACTTTTTTGGCCATGTCCTTTGAAAGTTTGTAAAAAAGTATAAATGTGTGTTTGTTATTCTTTCACACAAACACAGCTGGATTGATTTTGTTAGATAGGTTATGCATTAATACATAGACTGCCTTTTTGGTATCAACGTAGCAGGCGGGTAAAGGGCCGAAGGTAATCTTTACATATAAAAATCTCAACAACGAATGAACCAATTTTGCTAATTATTTTTTTGTTGTGTTTGTTATTGTCAGGAAAAGGTTCTTATCAATGAAAATATTACAATAGTAGAGGGGAAGATCAGGAAAAAATGACCCTTTCATAGCGAGATAGTTGGACCCTTGCGAAGCGGGGGCGGGCCGCTAGTAATTAAAAAATATTATTCGCACTTGAGAGGAATGGAACCCGCCGACACTTTACCTAGCCACCATGCTAATCGAGCCGTGAATATATACTAATATGCTATCACCACATATCATTGCATAATTATCTTGTTTGTCTATCTAAGCAACGAACTATAAGTAATTATTACGGAATTACTGACATATCACCTGATCTGACCTGTTGATCTGTTATTATAACAATCAAGTGCGGATTGAGATTAGCTGATCTGAATGTTACTGATATTCTAGATGTATTATTATATATAGGTATGTATTTGAAGGCATTAATTAAAACTGAATACAATCATGTTAAATTGTCGTCGTGGTGCATGAGGGTGTGGGTTCGAAACCTGGCAAGTACCAATGTGACTTTTTCAGAGATATATGTACCTTCTATGATTATTTAGACACCACTGACATACGGTGAAGGTAAACATCGTGAGTAAACATGGACTTTTAATTTCTAATTAGTTATAAAAGATATAAGTTTGAAATTGCCAACCCGCATTGAGCAAGCGTGGTGATTAATGCTCAAACCTTCTCCGTATGAGAAGAGGCCTTTGCTCAGCAGTGGGCACTTATAGGATGATGATGATAATAAATACGTACCCAAGTCTGCAAATGTGTGTTTGTTATTCTTTCACACAAAACGGCTGGGCCGATTAGGTTGAAATTCGTTATGTAGATAGGTGGTACCCTGCATTAACACAGGCGGCTTTTTATTAAGATTCCACGCGGGCAAAGTCGAGGGCGAAAATCTAATAACATGATCTTACGCAATTAATTATGATTTTCCCGAAACGAATCTTATTACCTATTAAACTTATACATTCTCTTTACACTCTTAGGCGTAGCGTTAACGCATAAGATTCAATAAATAATGTAATCAATCAAGTTCAAAACTTACTTCGCAAACAAAATTGGGAGTTGATCAATATATTCAGCAGTTATACAACAAATCCCGTCTCGGTTAATTTATTGACAAATAGGTTAACATCACAATGGGGCCACGAGAACAGCGGATAACAACGAACATTTATTTCACTGCATGATTAACTTTATGCAAATTTCAAATCTTACTTAATGAATAATTTTAAGTGTGGGAGAGCCATGCTTCGGCACGAATGGGTCGGCTCGACCGGAGTGATACCACGGCCTCACAGAAAACTGGCGTGAAATAACCACTGCGTTGTGTTTCGCCGTGTGAGTGAGGTTACCGGAGGCCCAATCCTTCCCCTTACCCAATCCCTCCTCAATCCCTTAATCTCCAAATCCCTAATCCCTAAAAGGTCGGCAACGCACTCGTAACTCCTCCGTTGCGAGTGTCCATGGGCGGCGCTGATTGCTTACCATCAGGTAATCCGCCTGCTAGTTTGCCGACCTATTACATAAAAAAAAAAAATACAAAGTTTTAGATTCAAAGTGAAAGCAAGTCCAAAGATTCATCAGACCTGTCTACATTTCATCACAGATTGGATTTCCAGATAATATTATGAATATTAATTCGAAAAGCGGAACGTAGGAAAAATTTTCATTCATATTCTGATAATAAAAGATTCGAATCTTTAACTAAATAAGTCAGAGAAAGTAGGATTTATAATTAATAACGCAATTTCAGACCTAAAAAAAGTCTTATGCTGTCCTATTTTGATAAACGTGAAAGTTTTTAGGTATGTACGAGTATTGCACATATTATGCGCTTTTTACTCGCGGCGAAACCACTGCTTTAAGCTAGTTGTGTATACGTTAAAACGAAGCAACTGTAATTTGAGGGGTGTATAGACCAGCCGGGGTTGCGGGGTAAGCGCAATGAGGCACCGCGACCGCGGCCTAGAGCAGAAGAAGGAACAGGGGGGTTTTTAGTCAGTAAGAGTCTGACACTCCCTCCCGCCCGGCCGTGGGCGGGAGAAGTCATTTGATGATTTTCCCCTCACAAAAAAAGGGGTGTATAAACACATATCTACTAGAACAATTTCCCAAAATCGATTACCCTTTCTTCTGTATAACTCCTTATCACTTTACCCAACGACTTCTATTCTATCAGATCTCACGTAGGTACGTGCATTTTCAGCGTTGATTATGTTCACTATCAAATATTATGTCATATATATGACGTGCATGCACGAAAATAATGACGTAATTATCCCGTTACGCTCATTGTCGCGTTCCGTGAGCGAGAGCGCCTCCCGAAGAGAGAAGCATGATCGCCTCTGTAATGTTTGACGTTTTTTTCAAACTAACCTCCTGAAACCGGCTCTACAGACAGCCAATTGTTTTTCTGAATTAAAGTTAATAAGAATAATTCAATCAATAATCTAGGAACTATTCAAATACAGATAGATCAAACTCGCTGGTTTTATAGCCCCGTCTAGTTACTTTGATTTTAATGTCAAATATAGGGCAACTACTAAACTTAAAGCGTTATGGATGTACGGAGTTAATGTAGGTTAATTTCCGTTGCGGCTTTCAAGTTTATTTCGGTACAAATTATTAACTACTACGGCATAACAATATTAGGTAAATCTATTACGTTAAGTATCACTGTTTAAATTACTGGTTTAAGACCCTGTTCTACAATTAAACTGCCTTTGGTAAAATAAAAGGATCTTTTATGCATCTGTAAGAGTACTCTTTGTAGTATTTTAGTATGTAGGTACAAAAATAAAGACTGATTCAATACCTGTCTCAGAAAGTGTGTGCAAACCTTCAAGAAACGAGCGAACTTCTTCTTGGAAAACCAGCAATGTGCCTATGACTCCTATCGTGTTGATAAATCCATGGCCGGCACTGATCACTTACCATAAAGCCGTCCGTCTGCTATTTGGACTATAAACCTTTTAAGTTCTGAGCTGGACAATGTTAACAAAAGTCATGACTTTATTAAAACCCATAGAAATATAGTGTAACGATAGACTTGAAGTTTTGAATCTACGGAGTCAAAAAGTCTTGAAATATAGAATGCGAATTTAGAAAAACTTTACTTAGGAAAGGAGAGATTTTTTTACCTAAATTCGAATAACAAATTCGAATGCTTTACATTCGAATTTGTTATTCGAATTTAGGTATTTGAAATACACCTCCTTTATTCCTATAACAAATAAAGTTCATTTAGAAAAACCAGCAACAAGATACGCTGAGGTATTTAGTTAAAATAATTTGGGTGGAAATCTTGGTTGTTACTCAAGATCTTATCGATTTCAGAGTCCAGTGTTTCCACCCACATATTGTTCCGGACCGTCTGTTTTCCCGGACCGTTGAAACAACCGGAAATGCTGGTGACAACACTATTTATACGAATCCGGTACGGTTGGGTCGCCCAAGTAAATTCGTCTTTTATATGTCAGCGCCGAGAGCCGAATTTTGGTTAGGGGTTTGTTAATTCGTATAGCTATTTTATAATAAGTAAACACGTGTAATACGTGCATTAGTTTTTAAGTTTTTTTTTTATGTAACATATGTATTAGTTTATGATTTAATGTTATAATTTATTTATGTAGTGTATTCTCTATGGGCGTCAGATGCCTGACTTAAATAAATAAATAAAAATAAAAAAAAAATACTGAAGAGCTAAACTTTATTCCTACAATATCAGTATACAATTAACAAAAGTTACTCAGGATAGTCGAATGTCGTGGTGGCCCGGAGGTAAACCCGCTTCTCATGCATGAGGGTGCGGTTTCGAAACCAGGCAAGTACCAATGTGACTTTTTTCGAGTTATATGTACTTTCTATGATTGTTTAGACACCACTGACAAACGGTGAAGGTAAACATCGTGAGGAAACCTGGACTTATAATTTCTAATTCTAATTATAAGTTTGAAATCGCCAACCCGCATTGAGCAAGCGTGGTGATTAATGCTCTCACTCTCTCCTCTCTCACACTCTTCTCCGTATGAGAAGAGGCCTTTGCTCAGCAGTGGGCACTTATAGGCTGATGATGATGACTCAGGATAGGCTCCCCTATCCGTAAGATACCTACTAGACCCAGGTACAACTGGGTACAACGACTACCTGAGTAAAAGTTAGCCTATCTGATTTTTTTATTCCCACTTTTAAGGGCTTTATCTAGCCTATCTGTTATTGCAGACCTTAATCTATCTCCGTATTATGTTTGTATCAATTTTCATTCAAATTCTTTGAGTAGTTTTTATTTGAAAAATATCCATTCATATTTACAATCTTTCACGTTTATAATATTAATAAGTAGGATGTAAATTGTAACCAGCATCCAATCTGTCATCATCATCGTCATCAACCTATAAGAACTGCTGAGTAAAAGCCTCTACTCACACGGAGAAGGTTTGAGCATTAATAACCACGCTTGTTCAATGCGGATTGGCGATTTCAAACGTATACTTAATTAGAAATTATACGTCCAGATTACCTCACTGTATGTCAGTGATGTCTAAATAATCATAAAAGGAATCTATAAACTCGGAAAAGGCCACAGTGGCATTTGCCAGGTTTCGACCGGCACTCTCATACATGAGAAGCGGGTGCCTTAAGCTCCGGGCCACCACGATAACACATCCAATTTTTATTAACTTAAAAACTTTTCTATTTGTAGGTACTGTCATCGTGCGGCCCGATGTCAGTGTCATTCTTCACAGTTGTAGTATTCTTCGGATCGTTCTACCTCATCAACCTGATGCTTGCCGTCGTGGCCCTCAGCTATGAAGAGGAGTCGCAGATCACGCAGGAGGTACGTACACAACATTGATTTGTGAAGACACTGATCTCTATAGAGTTATGAACATTTTTAAGATACTTATGCCAATCGATATTACGGTCTCTGGAGACTTTTCTGCTAAATCCAAAGAAAAGTACATCATGCTTATCGGGCACCACTGATAATGTAAAAATAATAAACAAAAATGAGTCTCACTTCTAGCCTTTTCCATATATGTAGTTCACTACGAATGGCAATGTTGCCATTTCTAGTCATGAGTTTACTCAACAACTATTGCGAAAGTTACCATAGTAATCCTGCCCTAACTTACACCAGGAAAGGAAGAAAGATCTGAATGAGCATCGCGACGATTCCACCTTCAGCTTCGATCCCACGTCGCTGGCGGTGCGGACCCTCGCCAAGGACTCGAGAAAGCGCATAGACGCGCGAAAAGGCCTGTTATTGGCCTCCTACTCACGGAAAAGAACAAGAAGACGTAAAAGGGGACGAAGCGCCATACATCATGCTGCTGCGGTCGCTGCTGTTGCAGAGTGAGTACTAGTTCATTAGTTATCTTAATTAACGTCATAGAGGTGGCATACAACGACATAATTATTAAGTCTAACGCTCTAACGTATGGAGTGTAGATGGCTATATATTTTCGTATGTACCATATTACTAAATCTAATATTAAGGGCTGATTTTAAAAATAAGCTACAAATATTTAGGGTTGATTTTTCAATAGTCAGATAAATGTTATCTGAGGAATAAAATTGTTGCTGTCACTGTCTTATATCAACATTCTTACGCGACAGCATCATAATTATTCCTCAGGTAACTTTTATCTACTTTTATTGTAAAATCATCCCTAAGGAGTATACTACGCATATACAGATGAGCTATATGGTATGGTCGGTAAATTTCCAAACCAATACGACTTTAAAACCTTCAAAGAATATTCGATTACGCACTTGTGATTCATTTTGTGTTGTAGGTGTCCATGGGTGGAGCTAATCGCTTGCTGCGGTGCTATGGTGATCGCTCTGATCATTTGTCTCTATAAAATAATGCATATATTGTTAAATGCAGGATCTACACTCATATTATTATATGAATTACGGATCCGAGATTACACTACAACATTCAAATGAACGTTGCTTACAAAAAGATTAGTTTTCACGAATTATTAGTTCCTATGCATTTTTCAAAATAACGGATAAAATAACAACTTAAAACTATTAAGAAATAAAAATGACGATGTGAAATTTTGCAATTCTGCTGTAAAGTATATAATGAACCGATTTACTCGATACTTGAAATTTCAGCGTGAGAGAGACTGTATGTGACATCAGGTTAACGTAGTTGACCGGATTCCAGCGGTCGAAGTTGACGTCTGAATATCGAGAGAACTTTCTGGAATCCTCACGATTTATCACAAGCTAGAATAGATTTAGAAGCCAAATCATTTATTTCAATTAAACCATTATAAGGCACGTATAAACGCCAATCAAAGATTTAAAAGTAAAAAGTGTCAGTCTGTCGGTTTGTTCTTTAATAAAGCATTTTTCTCGTTTCAAAGTTCGGTGACCCGCTGAATTTCAATTCATATAATATATTACCTACCTAATATTGACGTCATCAACATGTTTTTAAATAATAATTATTTATTTATTTTAGGCCATATAGTGTTAATAAAATCTTCACCTAATTGTCAGGAAATAAAGTAATGAGCTTAAATTAATTGGTGGCATGCACAGTACGCACGTGTCTACCTGCCCGCAGTGCCTAATGAAAGGTCCATCAATCTTGTCCGCCAGTGTAACCAGTATATTGTTAGGGCTACTCCTAAATCGCTTCAGCATTCTCGCACATTGCTTGCGCATAACGAAATAAAAATCATCTACCCTCGCTTCAGCGAACATACGAGACGCCCTATTATACTAGTATGTGTTTTAATTTGAAAACAATTGCTCATAACACACCTACCTATGTATATATATGTATAGATACCTATGTATCTCAACATAATTCATGCACTAATAACAAAACAAATCAGACGCCGGAATAAAAGAAAAATAATACTTGCTTTTGATTGCGGTAGAAAACTTTATTTTATTAATCCAACACATCGCTAGAAATAAATTTATTCTTTTAATATTTGAAAGAAAATCTAATAAGTATGAAATGAAATACGTAAAAGTCGGGGTGGAAGTTTCATATCGCAAAGTTTTATAAAGTCAATAGAGATAATATAGACGTGGAAACAGTATATACCTATGTACTTACAAATTTGTATAACCATATGTGGGAGAGTCATGCTTGGGCTCGAGTGAAGTTATACCACTTAAAATGGGCGTGAAACAATGTTTTCCTTGTTTTGCCGTGTGAATGAGGCCACCAGAGACTAAATCCTCCTCCTACCCCTCGACAACTCCATTCCCCAAATACTTCACTCTTTAAATACAGGGGCTTGGCCTGTGTTTTAAACTTAATACGAGAAATTAACATCAAAGCGTATCGAAAATGTATACAACTCTTTTATACCAAGAAGCAATTTACGGGAAAATATAACTTCAAAACAAATTGTGAATACAAAGCGAAAACTTCTATTAAGTTCAGTCAACATTTTCGTTTCTTAGAACAAGACAAGTGTTAAGGAAATCAGTCGCTTTGACTCTCTGATCTTTTGTAATTTTAATTTCGTAGTAAAAATTATAAACGCGTTTAATGAAGTACTGGGTTATCAAAAAAAACGCTGGAAAAACGGCTTACAGATCAGGTTTATCAGGTTCAAGTTTATAAAAGGGCGCTCCTGACCGATATCTGTCAGTGTGTTTTCCCATAGTCGGTTCCTATAATACCCACAAGTAGAAACGATAGTAATATCCTACTCTCGACGATACTGCAAGGCTCATAAAGTTTTCCAATAATTAATTGTTGATCATCAACATCATCATCATCAGCCTATAAGTGCCCACTGCTGAGCAAAGGCCTCTTCTCACACGGAGAAGGTTAACAGTGTCTGTATTACTACTGTTAACCCTTGTAGTATTCTAAGAATTACACCATAATTGTATATTTGAGTGTTATTAAAAAATAGAAATATAAAACCTAAATCATTGAGCTTACTCAAGGCTGCTTGGCTATTTTATCGTCGTCATCGTCGACGATCATCGTGGTTTTTTGGCCCTCGACGTCATTTATTGTTAACCTGACAGTTCTCCTTTTAACTAACTGTTCAATAGTAGCAACAATGTCAGTATTTATGCAACTGTTTTATCAATACCCGACTATATTACTGTAATGACCACACATTTCCAAGAACATATAAAATTCAATACGAGTACTCAACGCTGATTGGAACTTAATTACTTTATAAAATTTTACTGGAATTTTAATTATGAAAACGCGAATAAATTGATATTTCTCTTTGATTTTCAGTTATAAAACGCGATTTTATTAATATTTAAACAAAAATAGATGTACGTTTTAAAGTTTTAAGCGTTGAAATATAACCGATGTCAGGCAAGTTAATTAAAATGTGATCTGTTATTTTAATTTTACACCTTCATAATTCAACATTTTTATTTTTTTTTCTCTTGATCTCTAATCTCTAAATGAATCATTTTCAAACAGTTGCAATTGTTACTACGTATAATTTGATCATCGCCAGTTCGATTCAAGTTAAAGGTAATATTATGCTTCTCCTTTATACACATCTTTACAAAAATATTTGTTGACTCGACCGGATTGATAGCACCAGAACTCCGACGCGAAAGAAGACTTACTCCGTATCTTCATTCAAAGGTTATTGTAGGTATACTCCTCATAACATTTCCGATCCTACAATCCCAATCATCAAATCTGATGATGGGCAGCGACGCTTGCTTACCATCAGGTACTCCGGATCCACGTCGGTTGCTGCCCATCCAAATTCCTATTCTATCCAAACCTTATTGTATACGAGTAAAGATAGTTAAACATATTGTTAAATTCCAACGTGGGTTAGAACCAGCATTGCGGTTCTAAATTCCTCCACTATTTAATGGATGTTATAATACATGTAGACCTTCCTCTTCAATTAATCTACCTATTGAAAAATCGCATCAAAATCCGTTGCGTAGTTGTAAAGATTTAGCGCACAGCGGATAAAAGGACAGAGCAAGCTACTTTATTTTATACTATGTAGTTATTTGACTGCACGATTGGCTGTCGCGCAACGTGTCGTGTCGTGGGTTGGATTCCCGTATGGAACAATTCTTTGTGTGATGTACAAATTGTTGTTTCGGGTCTGGGTGGGATGTGTATGTGAAATTGTATATTGCACCCACACGACTCAGGAGAAAATCCTTGTGGGTTTTTTTTTCAAAATAAAGACAAATCATAGAATAAATATCCCACCAGAACAATCAGATTCGCTTATCATTGCATGACCAACAATTGTTACTGTGTGCAGTGATTCGTGGAAGATAAACTTGGACACGCAGCATGGAACTACTGACGATATATTGGACATAGTCATTGTACTAATGACGGTAATTAATGACGTGTTACACGGATATCATCTTAACTACACACTATTAAGAGCAAACTAATACAAGTGTGGGAGAGCCATGCTTTGACACGAATGAGCCGGCTCGACCGGAGTGATACCACGGCCTCACCGAAAACCGGCGTGAAACAACCACAGCGTTGTGTTTCGCCGTGTGAGTGAGGTTACTGGAGACCCATTCCTCCCCTGCCCCGATCCCAAAAACCTAAGTCTCCAATTCCCTTATGTCGAAAAGGTCGGCAATGCACTCGTAACTCTTCCGTTGCGGGTGTCCATGGGCGGCACTGATTGCTTACCATCTGGTAATACGTCTGCTAATTTCCCGACCTATTACATAAGAAAAAAAATGCGTGAAGCAATGCTTAGGTGTTCCGCCTCCTATCCCGATTATTCAAATCCAGCCGGCAAAGCAGTTAGAGCAAACTCCTTTGATATTGCGATTGTCCATGGGTGGCATGATCGGCAAACGAGCAGACGGATAGGGTCACCCGTCTGCTCGTTTGCCGATCATGCTAAAAGTTAAAAACTCACCTCGGTAGCCAACCGATAGTTACTGTTTCTGTGTTGTATCTTTATTTTCGTGTGTGCACACAAAATATTTGTGCAGACTGCATATTTACAGAACAGTATAATCCTCTGGAATACAGAAACCAGCGCAAATATTTTAATTAGACTTTTGCCACAGACAGTAACATTGGTGTCGCTATGCGAATGACCAACAAAACTAGTCTTACAAACATATATCTTGAGAAATTTTAATTAATTTTATCCGCTACCAGAAACTCGAAGAAAGAAGATATTTATTTTTAATTACATTTTCTAAAAGGTTTTTTTTTATCCCTAATTATTTTTCCCACTTAATGAGGTCGAAAAAATAATTATAATCATCACATCTTTGTAATTCTTGTTTCTTTTAAGATAGATATAATTAAATTCGTGGTTTAGTTGGAGCTTTCCCCGTAAATAGGTAGATAGTCTTTATCTAATATATTTTGCGGA